GTGTGCTGTCTCTCTCTCAAAATAAATTAATAAATAAAATCTTAAAAAAAAAAAGGGAACGGACTCATACAGTATGTGAATTTTGAGACTGACTTTTTTCTGCTCAGTATAATGCCTTTGAGATCCAGTTAGGATGTTTTCTGTATGTGTGGTGGACTTTCATTGGTTTCCCTCCTCCTCCTTCCACTAAGAGCACATGAATTTTCCTTTAGATGATCTTCCTCCATTCTCAATCCACTCACCCTCACCCCCCCACACACACACATACAACCCCAGTCTCCTGGGTTTGATGATCAAAACCTGTTCTCAACTGTCTCTCAGAGAGCGGGAGGGGCAGAGGCTGGCTTGGAGACAGGTATTATACTCATTACAGCACACAGTGTTAAGTCTTCTAGTAGTGACAGTGTAGAGAAAGAGGGTGAAAATAATAAAATTCTGACAAGGAATTTGGAAAGCCTTCTCAGAGGAGGAGATATTTGGGTTGACTCTTGAAGGCTGAATAATATTTTTCTAGCAGAGAAAGTGGAGAGGGCAATAATAAATCATTATCATTGCCAGTGAAAGATTAAGAACAGATACCCAAACCCATATGTTGAAAGACAGAAAAATACATGGAGATTATGTGTACCATTATCTGAAAATACCCCTGCAAGTAAGAACTCAGAGAACAAAAAATCTATGAACTAAGCATTTATTACTAGTCAATTTAGAAGGATAATTATTTAACTAAGATCTCTGCTTTATTAAAGGCTATTGACAAATGAAATTGTGTTTATATTTGAAAAGTGTGTGCAAACTTTATGAAACATACATAATTATATTAAGAAGTTCAAATTAGAAAAAAGATATTTCATTAAAACATAAAGATTTATTTAAACAAGGGGAAGTATAAAGAGAAGGCTAATTAATGAATTTATCAACTTGTCTTTCTGACCAGTTTGATCTTTAGACACGTTCGGTCCACCATACTTCTTTCCCTCCATCAATCTTGGTATATGAATGGAAACGTCGTAGAGAGGGATTACAACAATCACTCGGCAAAATAGTAATAGGAATCTCTCAGCACATTGACTGACATTCTTTTGCTCAGTTGCTAAAGAATAGCTTTGGATTGACCCACTCCACATTCAGTCCCCCTTTTGTGTGCTTTCTGAACTGCAGAAGCTAGAAAGCTGAAAACTACATTTCCTACACCCCCTTCCAGCTAGGTCCTCCGATGTACTTTGGTTTTACCAATCAGATATGTTTGCCAAAGACACAAATATAGAACTGAGTTAAGAAGAATTAACAGGTCTGCTGCTTTGGGCTGTTCTAGAAACTCAGCCTAGAATCTGTTTCTTTGGCGATCACATCCATTCCATAAATGACGCTGTACGATGTAATAAATTCACTGCTGCCTCAGTGAACCAGAGTAGATTCTGTTCTCTGTATAACTAAACCTTGACTAATATTGCCACCTTTGGTCAAAGTTTCTGGATTTGATTTTTGTTTAAATATATATGAACCGTTTAGGTGTGGATTTATGTACTAAAACTAGAATTTAGTGCTCGGCACCCAAGTTTTTATTTTAAAATAAAATGTATTGCTTTTATCTTTGTTCAAAATGGAAGTCATTTTGTAGCTTTAATTCAGATTATAAATGAACTTGTGCCCATAATAAATGCATTCGATAATAGAGCAGTAAGAAAGAAAACAAGTTTATTTACTTTATCTGAGATAATCTCCATTCTTTTTCTGTATTGGGACATATAACACACTTAGAAAATCAAGAACATAACAAAAATATTGCTCTGTAATATGCTTTTCACATGATATCTTGTGAACATATTTTCATATCAAATCTGTATCACTGTTTTTAAATTCTTAGTAGAGATTGTATATATCTTCCACGTATTTTTTAAAGATTTTATTTATTTATTTGACAGGGACAGCGAGAGAGGGGACACAAGCAGGGGGAGTGGGAGAGGGAGAAGCAGGCTTTCTGTGGAGTAGGGAGCCCGATGCGGGGCTCGATCCCAGGACCCTGGGACCATGACCTGAGCCGAAGGCAGACGCTTAACAACTGAGCCACCCAGGCACCCTCTTCCACGTATTTTTATAACCCATTCCCTGTTTTGAATATCCAGGTTGTTTTAAATTTTCCGTTGTTACAAACAAAGCCAAAATTAAAATTTTTAATTTCCTCTCTACTTATTTCCTCAATGTAAATTTGTAGGAGAGGAATTTCTAAGTCCATTGTAAAGATTACTATTTTTTTTTAAAGATTTTATTTATTTATTTGACAGAGAGAGACACAGCGAGAGAGGGAACACAAGCAGGGGGAGTGGGAGAGAGAGAAGCAGGCTTCCCGCCGAGCAGGGAGCCCAATGCGGGACTCGATCCCAGGACCCTGGGAGCATTACCTGAGCTGAAGGCAGACGCGTAACGACTGAGCCACCCAGGCGCCCCCATTGTAAAGATTGATATGTATTGCCAGATTGCCCTTTATACAAAATGTATCAATTTCCAAGGTCACGGGCAGCTCTACTAGTGCCTATTACTTTGCATGTCACCAACCCTGGGTGCAAACGGTCTGACCATCCGACAGGGGAAAACCAAATCTCACTTTATTTTGTTGCTTTCATCCTCTCTTCTTTCTTCTCATTAAAAAAAAGGGAGAGATAGAGAAAATCCCCAAAACCCTATAGTTTTTAGTTGTATATATATTTTTTTCTTTCTCCCTACAATCATTTTATTGTTTGGGCTTCTGTGGTTCAGGATTCTTATGCAGATGTTCCTTATCGTGATGGTAAATGTAAATACGCGTTTAAAAGCTTCGAGTGTTCTGAACTATGGTTTCGAAAGCGAACGCTGAATCAGAAGGCACATTTCATGTAGCATTGGCCACAGTGACACTCTAGGACGGAGAAGCCCAGTGTCACAGCTTTAACCACTCAGGCTTGTGGAGGACAGCCCCTTGGCAATCTGTATATGGTTCTGTGGTGGAAGCTATCACAGCTTATTTGATTGCTACCTCTGGATACACGGAGTCTCTCTTCAAACAGCCACAGGGCTCATTGCTATTATTAATCTGTCTCTGTTGCCAGATTCATAGCTTCAGAGTAAGAAAATATTATCTGAGCAAATATTTAAGCAGAATTCTCTACACTGTTATGCTTCATTAAAGAACAGTTTTCACTCAGTTTGTTCTGGAGTAAAGTGAAATGCTCCGAATCAATACACTCTCCAGTTTGCCCCAACCCTTTCCCTCCCCCACCCACAGTAGGAAGACAAGGGCTTCTCAGGAAGAAAAGCTTGATGAGGATGAGCCCTTCTCTCCTATTCATGCCCTTCTACCAGAATTCAGTCTGTTGGGGGGAAAACATGGTGACGGAAATGGAGAAAATAAAGGGTGTTTGTCTGCAGCCTCGTGCAAAGTGGTTAAAAACCACTGACATTCTTCTGCCAATCGCGGGCTGACACATGTGCTTTGCATCGGCCCCTTCAACATTATCCTCCTTGTGGGTTTTCCTATGCAGCAAAAGCTTTCAGGTATGTGGCTGGTTTGGAAAGCCTAAAAACGTGTCATCTGTACAATATCCTAAAGTAATATGGTGTCAGGACTCCTATCCTAAGATATTATAGGGTCTTCCCTACCCCGTTCTGTTTCAGCTGCCCCCTTCCTACTCCCCGATTGAATATACATGCTAGAGAGAGCACCAGGGAAAAGTGACATTGTAAAAGAAAACCGAACAAACAAACAAAAAAACCCCCCCAAAACACTAGACATTGAAATTATTGATCTGGACAAGTAGTGTTTGTACAACAAACTGGTGTGATTTATCAAACACGAACACAAAACCTGGAAAGAGGTGTTCCTAAAATGTCTAATCACTAATATTTTTGAGGGTATTGGGGCACTTGTCTTTCTTGGCGTGGTTCACACTGGCCTAGGTGATTGATGGAAATTTTTGTTTTCTCTTAAAAGCAGCTGTTTGCACGACAGTGTCTTTCAGCTGGTGGTGTTCACATCGATAACTACCCATTCACGTTATTGTTGATAATAACCTTATGAGTGGGAGAAATGCCCATGAGCTTATGGAGAGACTTGGAAGGGTGAACTTTTCAAACTCCATTTGATAAATCTCAGATCAGGAAAATATGGAGCCAATAAGCCAGATTCCTTTTTTTTTTTTAATGTTTCAAGTTTTTATTTAAATTCTAGTTCAGATTCCCTTTCTCTTAAGAACTTTCTCCCTTCTGTTTTTATATCCATGCCCACTGAAAAATGGTTGGTGGTGGCTCATCCCACCTTATTTTCTATTAAAGCTTTGTGGAATAAAGCTTTGGAGCCATGGAGTCTATACTCTCAATGTCTTCAGGCAGATGAATCCATTCTATTATTTCGTAACTGCAAAAAAGTTGTGGCATGTCTGTGTAATGGATTGTTTGCGAAGCCGTCAGAGTTGGTTTGTACGGTTGTTTTTTCAACACCTGTAAAGAAGGAAAACCACAATTTATTGTTTTGGATCACAAAGTTGTATTTAGAATTACAGATTAAAATATCAAATTTTTATCTTATATTTAAAAATAGCCATTTTATTATATTAAGAAAAAAACATCTAGCTCTATCTTGTTATTTCTTTATCACAAAGAAGAGAGAAGTGAAATCCGTATTTAAAAGGCTGTGGAACATTGTGCATTTAAAGTACTCAGCAAGTTATTCCCTAAAGCACTCCATATGATATGTAAATCTTTTGATCTTTCACAAAATGCATGAATACTATAAAGAATAATGAGTACAAGCCTGGAAAATACAATATTGACTGTCAATGTAGTGCACTTAGCGACAATTATTATTTGCGTGGCTTTTGCAACATCACTGGAGGGGATACTTCCGCGAATATGTTAAGTACATGCTGGTGTCTGCTAAAGAAGATTTAATTTTATAAGAAAGAATTCTTTTTCCCTTTCTCCTTCCACTGGTTAATTTTTTTTTTTTTTGAAACCATTTTCTCAAGACAGAAAGAATCTCTGGGAAAGGATGGAATTGACTAGAATTTAAAAAGAGAAGCCCTACTACCCTGTTGTTATTAATTACCATATGATGGATAAAGGAACTTGGCTTTGGAAAGTATCACTCTATGATACCCTGCAGAAAGAATATTTAAGTCATGGTAAGCTGTTCTTTTTAGAAATCTTTATTTAAAACTTAGTTTAGCGATGTGAATGAAATGTCTTCAAGTTTAGTTTAGAGAATAGTTTAATTGGCATTTCTGAACATTTTAGAAATTACCAATTCTGTTTGAACTTGGTCAGCAGGACTTATTTGAGACAAACAAATAAGCCACAATCTTTTTTTTTTTAAAGATTTATTTATTTGGGGGAGGGGGCGGCGATGAAAGAGGCCGAGGGAGAGGGAGAGAGAATCTCAAACAGATTTCCTGTCGAGCACGGAGCCTGAGGCAGGGCTCTATCTCAGGACCCTGAGACCATGACCTGAGCCGAAATCAAGGGCTGGACCCCCAACCAACTGAGCCACCCAGGCATTCCAAGCCACAATCTTTTTTATGTATCAGTTAAAAACTTGATATTTGAATTCACTTGGTTTTAGTCAAAGTAATGAGCTATTTTTTGTTGTGGCTAGCTGTGTTTGCAATGTGATAGGACCTGGTTAATCAATCCAGTCCTAAAAATGCAGAGCTGCTGGCTAAGGACAAATGGCTCACTGGTAGAAGCAATATGCCACAAGATTTGGAGGTAGTTCGTGCACAAATGGGAATAAAAATTGATTCCCATTTTGAGGTATGTGATCCCAAGATGTTAGTGTCTCAACATACACAGAGCCATGAATGCAAAGAACTCTACTTGAATGCATAGCTGTATTAAACCTTTTAAACTTAAGTTTTTAAGAGTATATGAATAAATTTTGATTCTAAAATTTGTTTGGAAATGCAAAGAACCAAGAATATCTAATAGGATTTTGATAAGGAAGTACAAATTTGGAGGACTTTGCTATCTGATTTTGTGACTTATTTTAAAGCTACAGTAATCAAGATAATATGGTGTTGGCATATGGACAGATAAATAGGCAATAGTACAGAACAGAGAGCCCCATGTTTACAATCATTTGATAAAGGTACCTAAGTAGTCCAATAGGGAAAGGAAATCTTTTCAACAAATGCTGGAACAACTGGATATCCATTTGGGGGACGGGGGTGGAAACTTGATCCCATATCACGTTCTACACAAAAATCAATTCAAGATGGATCACACACATAAAAGTAAAAGCTAGAACTCTAAAGATTTTTGAAGAAAGTATAAGATAATATTTTTGTGATCTCAGGGTAGGCAGGAGCTTCTTAGGACACAGAAAGCTTGCAGATGCCAGACTCTGGGCCTTCTTTGCCTCCATAATCACGGGAACCAATTCCTGTAATAAATCTCCTTTTATATATACCTTATTATATATATATGTACAGATATTTATGAGTTATACATGGATATATATGTGTATGTGTGTATATATATTATACTATATATTTTATACTACACACATACATACACATAAAATTATATGTATATATTCCATTGGTTCTCTCTCTCTGGGGAATCTGGATTAATAGAGCCACTTTGAGTAATCACATCTTCAGCAGCATGTTCATTTGTTCATTCATTCAGGGAACATGCATCAAACCTGCTATGTGCCAAGTTCTAAAGTAGATCTGAGATACCAAGATGATTGCAAAATAATTCCACTCCTCAAGGAATTTGCAGTTAGTTTGGGAAAACAGAAAACGATGTAAAGAAGTAATTGCTCTACAGTGAGATAACCACTATAAAGACAGACGTGCACAGTACCAACATGGTGTGAGGCAGGGTGTGACCAACCTTGTCTAGAGAGACGCAGGCAGGGTAGTCAAGAGAAGGAGAGCATGAGCTAGGTCATGGGCCAACAGAGTGGAGAGAAACATTCCTGGCAATGCCCATTACGTGGGCAACGTCATCCATGCTTGAGACACGAAGACCTGCAGCTCACTTTATCTGGAGGAAGGCTGGAAGCAAGAACTGCTTCCAGGGCCATGGTTGGAGATGAGCACCGGGAGGGCTCGTGTGCCTTGCTGAGAGCTTTGGGCTTTACTCTATGGGGAATTCCTAGGTTTTCTTAAGCAAAGGACCATCAGAGTGAGAAATGTTCATATTAGAAAGATTGCCCTGGTGGCACGATGAGAGTGAACTAAAGGTGAGATGCTAACGAGCCAGGATCCAGAGTCTGATTCAGAAACAGACAAATGACTTGATGTGTGGTGATAAGGAGGAAGGGACAGAGTTGACACTTAAAAGGTGGAATCAGCAAGAATTTGTGAAGGAAGAGATTTAGAAGGAGGGGCTGATGGAGAAGGAGGAGTGAAGGCTTCCCCCTAGGTTTCTGATTTGGGTAGATAATGCTACTATTGACTAAATAGGAAATAGAGAGGAGGAGCACTTATGAAGAGAGTTCTTGAAGCTAAGTTTTGGTTATTTTGACTTTGAAATTTCTGTGGGAGGTACAGCTGGAAATAGTCAACTGACAGTTGTGTGGGCAGGTTATAAGCATGAATACAACCCCCCAGGGTGAGTGTATAAATCAGTAAAAGATTAAAAGTTCAAATCCTTAGAAACACCAACATGTGAGAGTGGGATAGATGGCAGGAGGTGGGGGTCCGATTCCAGAGAAGCTGCTTAGGAAGGAGCAGTGCCCCAGATACAAGGGGGCTGTGTCCCAGCTAAATCTGCGTGGGTGGCTGGATCCTTGTGGAAGCTCCAGCCTCTCTCAGTCGAACCTAGGAGCACAGAGAAAACAGAAATATGAAGCTTCAAGGCAAAAGCCACATGACTGGGGTTTAGCTTCTAGGTTTAGTTGCCATAATCATGCAAATTCTATTTTTTAAAAAAAGTCCGATCACAAGACCCTGCCGCTGGATCTCATAATGGGGACACAGGGTCAGCAGTACACATCAGCCCTTCGAGCATTCCAGTAGTTCTAGGACATTTGTGAGTGGGGTTGCACCCATACACTGTGCTGGCCCCAAAGTCAGAGAGGAAGAGACAATTTAAGGGATATTTGTACCAAACCCCATGAATATTTAGAAAGATAAAAATGGATCTATTGTGGGGCATCTGGGTGGCACAGTCAGTTAGGCGCCCGACTCTTGATTTTGGCTAAGGTCATGATCTCAGGGTCATGGAATTGAACCACGCATCAGGCTCTGCACTCAGCGGGGAGTCTTCTTGAGATTCTCCCCCTCTCCCTCTGCCCCTCCCCCTGCTCTCTCTCTCTCTCTAAAATAAATAAATAAGGCTTTTAAGAAAAAAATAGATCTATTACTACAACCTCAGGGCCCGAGAAAACTGTCATGCTGATTTGCTGTTTCTTTTAAAAAATGCCTCATTATTGCAGCAAATGGGCCATCATAAGCTCTTTCTAGTATTAGCAAGATGCAGAACACTTTCCTGAAGAATTACAAAGAAATCTATAGCTCACAGTGTTTTCAGGAGTCACCTTTCTTTGGGAAAGATGTCTTCTTATTTTGAATGACAACTCAGAATTATACCAACAAATACTACTGTTCACTTCAGCAACCAAACAGATGGATACCCAGATCCACCCACTGGAAAATCAAAAAGACCAAGATCCAAATTTCTCTGTGTTTTTTTTGTTTGATTGTTTGAGTTTGTTTATTTTTTTATTTTGTTATTTTTATTATTATTTGCTGTTGTTGATGACTCTAATGCCATTTGAACCTGAATTTAGAAGTCCTCAACAAAAAAGTGCATGAAAAACAACAAATGAACGTTCCTGGATAATTGATCCTATTTTAACTTAGCCAATAGCTACAATGTTACTTGGAAATAATTATTTTATTCAAATTCTAGTTTGAGTGAACAATCTTTGAAAAAAGACCAGATGTTGAAAAGTTGAGAGTAAGAGTTGTGATTTGGACTTTGTCAAGGAAAATATTCTGGATAAGTCCATGTTTTGCTTACTCAAACAGAACAATTAAGGAAACGTGATATTCCAGCTTGAAAGCAGTTACACTTTGATCTAACCTCATCCTTTCCGATATATTTAAGAAGTTCAGCTGATTAGACAAGAGTTTTAATTAGGGTAGAGGTAAAGTTGCTGTAACAAAAGAACCTTAAACACAATGTCTTAAGGAAGATAGTTCTAGGGAGAATATTCCAAGGTGGTGGGTAAGTTATACACCACCTGGTCTTTCAGGAACCTGTCTTGTTGATCTGCCATCCCTTAGAGCATTGTCCTTGTCCATATAATCAAAGCTGGCTTTGATTAATCAAAGCATGGACATGGTCACATACATGCCCCAGCTTACGATAATAGGGAAGAGAGGTGCACAGGGACATGTGCCTCATCTTTAAAGTTGGAGGTCCCAGAAGTTGTACACATCCCATTGCCTGAACTTAGTCATGTAGCCACATTCGGTTGCAAGGGAGGCCGAAAATATAGTGTCTAGCTGGGCATCCAATTGCCTAGTTTAAACTCTAGTGCTGGGGAAGGAAGGGAGAACAGACTTTGACAGACAACCAGGAGTTTCGTGATCTTTGTGAGACACAGTGATAGAAACATGACAATACTGAGCTTGGAAGCTTAGCCTCAAAAGGCAGGACTTAGGGCTCAAACAGTGGTTAAAATGCACTAAAGATCATATTGTAGAATAAGGGAAATGAATGCATTCTATTCCAAATGGATATTTTTGGGAGAAGCAGTAATGCAGAAAGATAGTAAAAGGCCCAGAGCTTAAATAAACACATTTGAATAGGAGGTGATGTGTTGTAAGACAAATGAAAATCAGTTGATTTACCAGGCCTCTATCCAAATGAAAATAAGGTCACCCCTGATTCTGAGAAGTTCATATAGGAAAGGGAAAGAATTCTAATTAGGATTAAGAACATTATCTCTCTCCAAATGTCTGCAAGCATAGAATACTGGTTCCGTCCATGGCTATACCTATAATTTTGCAATATGACTTTTTTTTAAAGGAGGAGACAATTTGGTAAACTGATAACTAATTTAGATAATGCTAATTGTATTGGGTGGAAGATGATTAGGAAAGTTATAAAAAAAACCTCAAGTGTGCTCTTCATGGGATCTTATTGAAAACATAATATTGTGTAAAGCTGTTCTCCCTTCGACAAAAGAGAGATGATTCCTGGATGGGCTTGTATTATATACAAAATCAGAAGAGGAGGAGCTGGGGGCAGGAGTGGAGGGCATAGTGGTTATGCTGATTTTAGTATACTTTGGAATCCCTCTTTAATTCCCTTCTGTGAATGGTCCATGTGCATACGCTCACACGTGACTTAACCGTATAACGCTGTTACTTGGCTTTATAATCACAGACCATACTTTGCATGTGGATTACCAGTACACATTTACTTCCCTCTCAGTTAAATGCAAATCGCCTTGGTTATTAAGTAAACCCTCTCTATTTTAGCTGTGCACACAACTTGCTGTCTTAGAACATTGTGGAACTCCTATAGTTCTTCCTATGGATTGGTTGCTATCACTGAATCAGGTTTTGGAGACTTAGTCAAATATTTGTTTCCCATTTTAAGTAAACATAGTGTGCTAATCTACACAAGTATGGTGTCCTGTATAAAGCCTGTTTAGTATTATTTGGAGTCATCGTATTTTCTTCATGCCATATGCTAGTCAACAGGAAAGATACGGTAACTATCCCGTGAGTGCTCAATCAAGCAAAAGGCATGGCCTTTATGATGCAACTAACATCCTTCCACTTCTGTAGTACAAGTTCAGGCAACCCCTCTGGGCTTGTTATTTTCTGTCCTACCCACCCCCCACCCCGCACCTGCTGATTCATTCTCCACTCTTCTAGGCCTTGCTTTGCGCCGTGGGAGGATGATGACCCTTGTGGACCACATCTCCTGAGCTCCCTTGCTGGTGGACTTATGATTAGATTTGGCCAATATCTGGAGATCAGAGGGTGAGTGTAAAGGTTTGGGGGTAGTTCTTCCTGGATCCCTCCTTCCTTCCATGCTCTATTTCAGGCAACATCTGGTTCCCTCCATGACCGCAGCTTCCACTGGGTGGCTCTTCTTTGATCTTTCGTCTCTCATTGTGGTCCACTAACCTGATCTCTTCTCCTTGTCCCTTCAGTTTAGAGGTAGTAAATTGTCTTATTTCTTTGGGCTTCCCTCCCTAGGATTTAGCTCAATGCAGGCAGGGATTTTTGTTTTCCTCCGTGCTGTATTTCAGCTCCTGGAATAGGCCTGGCACACATAAGAGTGTTTGAGAAATACTGATGGAATGAATGAATGGGTGAATGAATGATTTTTCTGCACTCCTTTTAAACCAGACAAGAATATCCAAGTTTTAAAGTGCTTCTTAAAAAACAGACTGTAAGTGAAAGAAAGGAAGGACAAAGAAAGCAGGAAAGAGAAAGGCAGGGATGACTTTACACTCTAACGGAAAATACGCTGCACCATTAGCAACCAGCATTTTCACAGCCCTCAAAATGGAATCTGTCCCAATAATCATGCTGACGGAGCCATTCGTAGGAGATTGGGGTCTTATGACTAGCATTCCGAGAACTCACGGCAAGCAGGCACTCCAAGCTAGCGCTGTTAGATTTAACATAACAATATGCTTAGCCAAGTGTGTTTTTATTTTATGTAATATGACCAAGTGGCTATAATTTTAACACGTTTTAAAATGTATTTAGATTTCTCTTTGTAAAAATATTTGGTATACATAATTTGGAAAATGTAGAAAAGAATAAAGGGAAAAGGAGTGACAGAGAAAGAAAGTTGGAAAGGGAGAAACAGCTATAGTCACAAAGATGTATGTAGTTACCATATTGATGCACAGCCTCCCATCTTTTTTCTTCACATTTTTTTAAGTGATCTGTCTGGGGGCGCCCAGGTGGCTTAGTCGGTTAAGCATCTGCCTTCAGCTCAGGTCATGATCCCAGGGTCCTGGGATTGAGCTCCGCATAGGGCTCCCTGCTCAGCGGGGAGCCTGCTTCTCCCTCTGCCTCTCCTCCAGCTTGTGCTCTCTCTCTCTCTGTCAAATAAATAAATAAAATCTTTAAAATATATATATATAAGTGATCTGTCTGCTCAACGTGGGGCTCGAACTCACAACCCTGAGATCAAGAGTTGCATGCTCTACCGACTGAGCCCACCAGGTGCCCCTTTCTTCCTTAACATTAAAAAAAAAAAAAAAAGTCATCTTTGAATGACCTTAATAAACGGAATGCATGAGCATGAACCTCAGTGCACATAACATGAATCACTTATCAAATGCTGAGGAGGGCTGCTCTCATTCCTCGCTGCACTTGCTTAGCAATCAGCTCACATGATCATAATTATCCTGTCATCAGCAGCGTTTAATGATAGACAGGGCCATTCAGACATTATCAAGAGCCCCGTGTGCAGATTTCAGTTACCCGTTTTCCTCAATCTGAAAGAGCAATTCCATTTCTGTAGCAGGAATGAAACATTTTTAGTGAGAAACCAGGAGAGATTAAAAATGGTTTTGGCCTTGCCTGTGAGTAATGATGTCAAATGATGTAGTGGGGTAATTATTGTGAAGACTTAATTCCTGTGTCATCAGGTATTTATAGATATACAAAGCATTCTACTGATTAAACAGCATTCAAGGTGACTAAACATTCCCCTTGATTGACAGTTTACAGCTCTGACTAAAAAGATTAAATAACATTAGAAAGTGGCAGGTGACTTCTTTCCCCTCGGGGCATTGTGCCCTGTGAGGAAACGAGTGAGACTTCTAATAATATTGCTCACAAGAAAGTTCTGAACTGTTTGCTTGCAGCACTCATATTCTGAGAAGAAATGCAAATCCTGTTATGCATCTTTTTCATCTTGGGGAGGTTGCAGTGGCTGGCTATAAAAGTTAGATAGAAGGTAAAGGAAAGTATACCTTCCCTTGAGACTGAAAATACCCTGAAACGTGTCCAACTTCTAGGGGCAGATAATGTTTCAGAGCTGTTGGCCAAGATCAATTTGCTTTCTATCTGATACATTCTTTCTCCGAAATAGAGCCAAGATGATCCCAAATGCAGAGATTCAGAATTTCAGGTAACCAACATTGCTTCTCTATAAAAGGTCCCCTGTAGCCGAGCCTTCGGTTACATTACGTGATTCCTAATTACATATCTATGCATGCCTTACCTCAGCCTCTATCCTTTTTTTCTTTCTAGGAGGTTCAGAAGAGATTTTTTTTTTTTTTTTTTTACCATCTCCTCTTTAAGCTGGATAATACTACTTCCTACAAAATCATAATCATAAAACCTTACATGCTTGTGGTTCTTTGAACTTTATGAAATGTTTCTTTTTTTCTCTTTTATCTCATGGGAATAATAGTACCTACACAAAGGGTTATCTTGAGAGCCAGATGAAAGAGTGCGTGTGAGGCGATTAGCACGGTGTTGGCCCACAGCATTTGCCAAATAATTGTAAACCATTTTAATGAACTCATTTACTGTATTTCATCCTCACAATAGCCTCGTAAAGTAGATAAAATAAGCAGTGTTTTTTTTGTAACGGGTGCCTTTGAATCTTAGGTGCAAAGGTTGAGTAACTTTCCTAAATTCAAGAGATTCTTAGGGACCTGAGTCAAAACTGGAATCCAGACCTGCTGATTTCCAACCTCCCGTGTGTTCCCTGGAGTCTTCTAGAGCACATTCTGGCTCTGGGGTGAGAGATGAGTCTCAGTCTGCCACGTCTTCTCCCTTTGGGCATCATAACCGTCACTAACGTGACCAGCTGTGCTCCTCTTGGCTCCTTTAGTGGCCATCCCATCGCTCTTCTATTAAGACTGCATTCTGTGCTCATTAAGAGCATAAGCTTTGCTTCCTGACAGACCTGGGTTTGAATCCGGGTTCAGCCTCGTAGCAGCTGCGTATGAAATGAGCATAGATTCATTGGGAGGATTAAAGAACGGAAGATACTGCCTACGTAGGACCTGGCACATGGAAAGCTCTCTCCAAATTTTCGTTATTCTTATGATGGCTAGATGAACTCCAGGGCTTCACTGCTGTACCTGCTGTCAGGGCCACGTCTCCACACCAGCTGTCTCCTTGGGCTCCAGCCAACCTGGCTCATGGCCTCGATACTCGACTGCAACTACTGCTCTCCTTGTCAATAAATACCTCCTTCTGACCAATCCAAGGCCCTGCTGATTTTCCTTAGACATGGCTCCCTTCTCTTATCAAGGCACCACTCCCCTCATCCCGCCCTGTTGAGCCCTGCCTCTCCCTGCAGACAAAGTCTTGGACCTACTATTCTCTTCTTCAGCTGCACCCTACAAAGATCATGGTTTTATTTATGTCTCCGTATGTATCACCTTGTATTCACTATCTCCACTGCTGGAACGATTAATTGGTTTATTCCCATATCACATATATATAATAGCGTATATGATCTTTTTTCTGTTGCTCTAAAAGCTTGGTGAGAACACTTGAAGGAATGGGATTAATAGTGCTGGCAGGAAGCAAAAGGGGAAATGCCTCAACATCATCTGCATCTTCTTAACTCCTCTTTACGAACCTTCAGAGGTGCAATCGTGGACCCCCCCATGCGTCTCATCCCTTCAGGGAGGGTGCCCAGTAGCCATATGAGTGAATAGCTCTCCCACCACCTCCTTTCCGTGCAATGTCTTAGCGACGTCTTAAAACGTTAGGAATTTCTGAATAAACAAGACCTATTTCCCAACACTGGTGTCCCATTTGGAGTCTCGGCAAGGTGGCAGTTTAAGCTCGTCAATGCTCCGGCCCCGCTGGGTACCCCTGGTACAAGTGGGGCTCAGGCATCCTGTTTGAGTAACTGTCTCTGCTGGCACTCTCAACACACAGGAGACAGTTACCATCACCGGCTCTGTGCTATCCTATGGTGCTGAAAAGCCCTCTAAAGTCTTGGAATAGCCCCCCATTCCGGTAGTCTCCTTCACACCTGTGTGCCATGATGTATCCCGCTATGCAATTGTCACTGCTCCATCATGTGTCATTGATGAGGGTGACAATGATTAGGGTGTTGTCGTTGGCTCCCAGGTGTTCTGGACACCTTGTTACAAAGACAAGGATACAGCAAAACTATGGCCATCGCCACAGAGTGGTTCTAACGAGGAAGAAATTTGGGGGTAAAGGGTGGGACCTGTGAAGCCTCTTTCTTCTTCTCCGGTTCGGTGCCTGGAGAGACCCAAAGTATGGTATAGACAAGCATGTCAGTGCCCTTTTACATAGAAAATAGGAAATGAATTCCAAACAATACTGGAAACAGCTGACCCTTTTAGCACAATGCTTAAATATGCTAGTGCTGAGCCAAGGCAGCATGTGCAGAGTAAATATTTTAATCCCTAATTAATCACTTTGGTTAGATTGGTAAAACACAAGTCTAATGAAAATAATTTGAAATTTCCTTCATGAATAATTGCCTTGTTCGGGGAATTGTGGGAAGAGTCAACTGACTGACCTTCCATTCTTACTCAGCTGTACTGCTCCGAGACTTAATTTGTGTCCTTCAACCTCTTCCAGTCACCGTCATGAGATTAGAAATACCTTTCGTGCAGTTTAGCAGTAACTATGCAATATGACAGTTAAGTCAGCAGAGAGGTAGAAACCCAAGCAACTCCTTGCTTTCTCGCCGCGGAGCTTGCCTTACGTATCCTGTAGAGGGGCGAGTGTCTTCACAGCCCTGCGTTCTTTTATTAGGTTGTGAGCATGATGGATGGCTCCAGGTTATTGGACTGTTCATGTTCCTTTTTTAATTAAAAACTTGAATAATAAAGTGCCCAGGGTTTGGGCATTTACAAAGGGGAGAGAAAGAATTTTCCAACTCTGAGTGCTGATGAATGCTGTTCTGATTAGCTCTGTGCCACCAGATTTAATTACTTCTTTGAGTAAATCAAATTTTTCTTACAGAGCAATGTTCCCGGGTGTGCAAAGACCAAAGGTTAAGCCACCTTACTAGTTACCTGTTCAGACATGTTGGAACCTGCTAGATGTGGGTGGTGAGCATGTTCTATTCCATCCTTCTTCTATCTTGCCTGCCTGCCTGTTCTCCTTAACTTCCTCCCTGGTGTTCCTCAACCCCCTTCCAGCAATGAACGTATTGCTTATCTGGTTGGAATGTCACTAGGAGCGATGACTGGCAACGTGCCCTATGGCTGGTGCACTCTGGCTCACACTGCAATCATTGCTAAAAATTGCCTGGTCCACCAGTCAGTTTGGCCAGTTCTGTGGACTGTCACGGTCCACCTGGTGGACCATCTGCCACCTCTCCCTGGAGGTTCCTCCTCTCTTTTGTTTTCCAGTCTGGTCCTCCTCCTCAATCTTGCTCTTTTATTTGGGAGATTCAAATATTTGGGGGAATTTTTCTTTTGCTTCTCAGCAAGCCAGAGGACATGATGTTCTTGGGTTGCTGGAATGCATTTGGAGAACAGCATCTTAACTTTTGCTGTCCCGCAGTTGCCTTGCAAAATGGCCAATAACTGGCTTAAGAAGCTTGGTTATAAAGCAGAAAAATGCCATTCAGATGGAGAAGCATAGAGGCAGGCAACTTGTAACCCGGGTGATAATTGAACCAAATTTTGGAGCAGATTTGGTGTCTCTATTCAAATGGAATTACCCACATTCCATGCCAAAAGGATCATGGAAGCCCTCCCGTTTTACAGGATCTGAAGCATTGCGACTTAGAAGCCAAATCATTGGTTTTCAATATGTTTTCACCATTGTGGGTGTTTGGTGGCATAACTGTGCATCCAACAGCATGACGTACGGTTAAGCATGAGTGGTTGAATGTACAGTTGTCCCAATGATCATCTTCAAAGACAGCTCTAAAGAATTCCTCCCCAGAGCTCCTGCTGCCAGACCTCTGAATCAAAGAGCTGCCAGCAACAAGTCTCATGCAGGGGGAAATGGCAGAAAGAGGACGCTGGACTGCAAAAGGCAAACTCTGACTTCCCTGTCATTGTGCCCAGGTTGAGTCCTGTGGATGACATCTATAGAGAGTGCTTGCTCTTCCTCACTGGGAAATGTGTGCCAGGAAAGGAGCAAGATTGCTCACTCTTCTGGCGCTCCCCTCTGCAGCCAGGCTACCCTTCATTCGGGCCACGTGACCCTGTGTGGGAGTTCTCCATAAAGCAGACCTAGAACTGGTTCTGGAATTGGCTGGCCGCACTTTGGCTTTTCTGACTTAAATAAGTCAGGGCGGAGCAACTATAGGCCCCCTCATATGAATGCAAAAAGGGGCCTTGGGGTTGTCTGACTCTGTACTTCCGGAGTCATCGCATAGGATTTGAACTATGGTAGTGCCCCTCTCGCCACTTAATCCTACACTGGAATATGTTCTTTCCAGTACCTGAGAGTCTTTGTTTATGAGCGTTACATTCATTCGGTAATGTTAAGTGAGCACCTACAAGTACTGTTCTATTTAAATTGTTCTTAAAACCACAATTTAATTCCCTCTTCCTGCCTCTTCAGTTGTTTTGAGATCTACCATTCAGTTACCATTCATTTGGCCATTCATACATTTCTGCCTTCCTTCCAACATTGCTTGCTTTAGTCTTAAAGACAGACCTCTGATGGCTGAACCAGGAAACACAGTGAAACTGAGACTACATTGGACCACTTTGCAGGGATGGATATGGAAATGTGAGTGGATGGATGGATGGATGGGTATAAATAGATAGCTATAGATACATCCTTTGGTGTGAGCTGTTATGTAGCACAGAAGCATAAAATTGGAAGAAATGTAAGAGGTCCTATAGTCCTTCTCTCCTAGAAGTTCACAGGTTTAAGTGACTTGCTCAAGGTCACAGCTAACTGTTTTTGAGTTGAGACTAGAAAACTGGCTTCTGACTCCTACTCATCGCTATTTCCAACACACAATGATCCTTATAACCCATATATATGTGTCCCATACAATTCAGGGTCTAATTACTTCTGCTATCCAATCAGTAAGAAATGGGTGAACCATCAAGAAGATTCAACAATTTTAATAATCATAACAATAAAGTGTGTATGGAACCTGCTGATTTCAGCATGCCCAAAATACATTCACAAAACGGTGAACTCTTCACTGCTGATGCCTTGGGACACCTATTCCTGCCAACATTCCAGAACTTCACCATCACCAACACTGGAGAGATTTCAAACCTTCCTGTCTCTTCTGCTACCCTGCTTGAACTACTTTGGTGGTGCTCCTTCATCAGCTGAGTGCGTATATTAAGGCTGACTACCTGGAACTGCCTACTGGACTAGATAAACTCTGGGTCAGAGTTGGGAGGCCAAGAGGTGAGTCTCTCTTGTTGTCCCCTCACCCTCTCATACTGACACTTCCAGAAAGAACACAGACCTTTCTTTTTAAATAAAGATTCCTAATAAAGTTTCCAGAAACGAATCCATCAAACCTGAAGCAAACAAGACTGATATCTCATTCAGATATCTCAGATATCTGGGGGGGGGCAGATATCTCATTCACAGAAGATTCCTTTTCTCTATTCAAATCTTAAAGACAATTTCTTATTGATTTGCTGCTTACTTTTTGTCAATACTTTATTGATAAAAATCAATATTTTCTTTTATTAATATTTTTTAAAAATACAACCACAAGTTCTGAAAAGGATCACGTATTGAAAACCTCAAATAGTGTGGGTCTGTGAGATCCAGCTGCCAGTGACAAAATGAAGCACACAGCTCAGACACTTAAGGCACGCTATTCTTTGTGGTTGTTTTTTTTGTTTTTGTTTTTGTTTTTTTTGAGTCGTTGTGAGAAGCCATAATGTGGGGGCGGTGGGGGCTGGTCAGGGAAGGATATGGTCAAAGTCAGGGGAATTTAGAGTATGGACTGCAGAAGGAGGGGCAGATCAGATGGCAGGGGGTTTGGGGAGGTTGAAGACAACTCTTCAAAGTTAAGCCCCCCAACTACGTCATTGCTACGGAAAATGGAAAACCTCAGCTTCTTTGTCCTCAGAGTCGCTGCTGGTGGAGCTGGCCTCATGGGCTTCCCCATCCTGGGCCCCTACGTATCCCCTCTGGCCCAGGACAGTGTCCTTGAGAATATAATTTCACTTGGAAAGGTCTGAGGAGACAGGGGAGAGCTGCAGCCCTGCACTCCTCTTACCCTCAATGCAAATCGCACTTACAGGGG